TTTGTTTTTTGAGGTTTGGCACGAAAACCGGAATCGCTGCTTAGGTTTGCTTGGCAAACCTGGGTCAGAGCGACGGTTACTTCGTGGACTTCAAGCGGGGTGAGCGGTGTCGGGCCATGAGTGCCGGGGACCCGTTTAGCCATCTCGCATTTGTTTTCTTTCTCTCGAGGGCCACAGCGTTGGCCTCGAGATTCGCCGCGCTTCCCATTAGCGGAAGCTGGCGCGGGAGCGGTTAGGGTACCGGGCTTCCACAGTGTTGGAAGATTGCACGGTGACTCTCAGTGATCCGTTATCCTCTTTTCTTTGTCTGCACCCGGACGGCGCCCAGTGTGGCGCCAGTCGCGATTGCAGCTACTTCTTTCTTGGAACCTACCACAGTGTTGGTCAGGAGACACCTAGAAAGAACTGGAGGTGGCCACATTGTTGGCACTCGAGGGCGGGGCTGGTTACTATGGCCAGTCGAGCTTCCCTTCTCCAGACCGGCTGTCACCCGCGTGTCTAGATGCTTATCCACTGGACCCGGGTGATGCGCCATGGACTGACCAAGTTCTCACAGGAGGACGAGGTCAGAGGTACGTCGATTGATCCTTTCGGGGACTTCGTGTGGGTGGGCCTTGAGGCTCACTCAACTTACCCTTTATGCCAAATTATTATCTTGATTGACTAGAAAGCTACTTTGTACAGGTAATCTTCGATTAGCCAGGAAAGTAGCGCCCAGAGGAGAGAGAGAGAATGAGCTGTTATTTATTATTGCAGCTCAGTCGATACTATCTGGCCGGCGCTGCTGAAGCAGCCGAACCTATTTTAGAGAGAGGGAGTTTAGCTAGTAAACTAGGGTAGTGGGGTGGGCCTTGAGGCTCACTCAACTTACCCTTTATGCCAAATTATTATCTTGATTGACTAGAAAGCTACTTTAGAAGGGAGGAGAGGAGGAGCCTAACTAGGGATACTCTCAGGATCGGGATCCTCTAACTAGGAAAACTCTCTACACCCCCAGAATTGAAACTTCAATTCTAGAGTTTGAAATAGGTCAGAAATGATAACACCAAACATCGGAGATCATCTACCTCAAACTGGAGTATTCATAACCCAAAGAAATACTATACTCAACAAAGCACATTCAATACAAGTAGCCAAAGAAGCATATTTATGGTCGGTTAGTATGAGCGATGAGTTTGTGTTGAACGTAGTCTGACAGGATGGAACAGATGGAGAGAGTCCACGCCTGCGATGATCTTGCACCAGTCTAGTGGC